ATAATTGTTGTCGCGATAATTTAAAAACCTTTTAATCTCCTGAACATAGTCGGTATCATCGTCATTATTTATAAGTCCAAGCATAGCTGTATCGTCAGCAAATTTAATAACAGGGCACATACAATGTGCTGATCTATAGTCAGCCGTGTAAAGGCTAAATAAAAAGGGGGCAAGTACAGTTCCCTGAGGAGCGCCCGTATTGGACCTAATTGTATTTGACTTTACGTCTTTATCTAACTTTACGAACTGAGAACAATTAATCAAAAAATCAAAAACTAAGGAGATTAAGGGAAAAGGAATATTCATGCGAACTAATTTGTCAAATAAAAGATGAGGTTGAATTGTATTAAATGCAGATGAAAAATCATAATACATAATTCGAGCACAATAAGTCAGTGGGTTAAGGCATCTGCATAGACAGCAGGTCTTTGGTTCCCATCCTGGTTAACTTTTTATCACGCATGCAGATTCATCTTCTATCTGTTGAGGCGAATAAATGAATTGAATTGATTTGAACGTTCCAAAATTTATTTATAATTTAACTGCAAGACAGTTAGAGTCCATCTCTATTTCATAATAATAATATCATGATTTATATACATTATACGTCAATATTTCCTCAAAAAATACAAAGCCGAGGAAGAATAAAGTTTAGCGCTACTGGCCTAAGATCATTCATCTCACTAACTGCACGTTTTGGCACAGGTACAATGCATGATTTTTTCCAAGAATCTGGAAACCTATTAACCGAAAAGCATAAATTATAAAGATAAGAAAAAATATTAGACAACTGATCTGCACATAATTTTAAAACTAAGGGCATTATTCTGTCTGGACCGGCAGCTTTTGACGAGTTTTGTCGTTTAAAAAGATTACGCACTTCGTCTTCATCTGTCCTAATGACAAAGTCAGACTGCGTCATATTATTAAGCAACTCAAGACGTTCATGTATTTCTGTTTTAAAATCAAACTTATCGAAGCGATTAAAGAACAGGTTGATATCATTTGCATACGCATGAGTTGAGTTTGGGAGTTTCCCTGATTGGTGATAATTTTCACAATAGCCACTCATAAGACGCATACCTTTCCAGACATGTTTCATTTTATTTTCAGTAAAACATTGTTCAATTTTCCTTTTATAAATTGGTTTTTGTTTACGAATTGCTTTTTTAAGTTCTTTTTGTAAAACTTTTAACTCGTCTTTATTACCAATACGATATGCCCGTTTTTTGCTATTTATTATCTATTTAACATCTTTAGTTATCCAAGGTTTATTGTTAGCATATATCTTAACAACTTTAGTTGGAATAGTAATAACAGTGCAGAAGTTTATGTAACTACTAATCGACTCAGTCATTTCATTAATATCATTAGAGTCCGTTTTAAAAATATTCCAATCTGTGCACTCTAAAGCACCCTTTAAACTTTCAACAGCTTCATTTGTCCAATGTTTAATAGTTATTTTCTTTGGTTGACTTCGTTGAACCAACGGACGATATCTTGGATTAAGTAATACCAAATTATGATCAGCAACACCTAGATTCGGTAACTTTGTTGACAGGTAAGCGTCTTTGACATTTGAATAACAAAGGTCTAGCGTATTCGATCCTCTTGTTGTACAGGAGGCATGCTGATAATAATAAACACTGCTTCGTTTTAACGAACAATGATTGAAATCACCATTAATCAATATAAAGGCGTTAGGCGATGATATCTCAATATTTTGTATCACTTCACAAATCTCATTAGCAGCAATTTTAGCAACGTTTTTATGTGGCACATAAACAATAACCATCACAATATGAGAAAATTCTCTTGGCAAATAGTAAGGTCTTACACTGACAGTCATGATCTCAGCATTCGGGGTACACCTGTATGATTTAATAGTTGAGTTATTTGGATGGCAGTAACTATCGTTCAAATACACGCAAACCCCTCCTCCTATACTTTTTCCGGAATGAACAGTCCTATCTCCTCTCAAAATCTTAAAACCTTCTATAGCAACCTGTTCATCATTGTGTTTGTCAGACAGCCATGTTTCGGTAAAACACATGGCACTTATATTTCTATATTCATAAAGATATAGTGGATTATTCTAGATTATTCTGGTAATTAATAAAATCTTGTGTTCCTTTAGTGTTCCATATATTATCATAGGAACAATGGCTAACATGGGTGTTTAAATTGGTATCTAATTCTAACAAAAGCGTATTGTGATCGCTTCCTGTGCCTAGCTTCCTACCCTCATCAACAATAAACTTTATTGTATTATTCAAAATAGTTTTTAGAACAAAGCATGTAATCAATAGTGCTTTTTTTGGTTACCCTTACACCATGTAACTACACCTTCACATAAGTGAGAACAATTTAAAATATACATATTAGAATCATCTTTAAATTGAAGAAGTCGAGTACCATTACTATTAATATGTGGGTCACCATTAGGAATTTCATGACCAATCCTACCATTAAAGTCCCCCATTATAAGAATGGACGGGTCACAATCATTTGTATGATTTTCTAGTTGAATCACCTCTGAAAGTAATTGGTTAGTTAATTCATCTGCCTTTTCATTATCAACTCCATTGACTGCATATTGAAACAACTGATAAGTACAAAGGTGCTGATTTTGAATTATTAATACATATTTTTATCCAAATTCTTTCAAAATCATCTAGCTTTGAATTAAAGACATTATCATCTACAATGGTAACATTTTTTGATACAAATATTCCAACACCACCACCTTTTTTATGTTTCCTACATTTACCCGACCAATTATATCCGTCAATGTGAACATTATTATTATTGTTTAGAAAAGTTTCTGCTACACCAAAAACTTGAATACCATTATTTGTAATTAATTCAGATATCTCACAAAGTCGTGCAGAAGTTAACCTATTTACATTATTGAAAGCTATTTTAATATTACTACATTTGTTTTTACCCGATACCCTTGACATCCTACTGTGTCGGTGTCTTCTTCGCGGTTCTTGTTCTTCGTTTATAGATACATTATAGTTAAAAGTATTAGGTGCTTTAGCAGTGTCATTTATTACAATGATTTATTAAGACCAAGAAATCTATTGGCGAGAGGCATACCTGATGCATTGTTGCTTGCGATTTCACAAAGCTATAGTTATGGGGGAATGCATCTTGTGAGACCTGATTGTTGTAACTGTTGATATGCGGTCTTCGCTAAGAGCGGTGAAAGTGTTCATACTGCCTTGGATTAATAGGGCTATCGTAGCGGTTACGCGGCTGGAATTTTGGCTTGGTCCTGGTTGACGGTTTTATGATAGCCTGGACAGCGTTCATGTTACGAAGAAGCAATTTTGTTCCTATTTTCGAGAGATGTAGTCCTCCAGTGTTCAGGTTTGAGTTGACAGCAGATCCATTTCTCAGTAGGAATGTATCATCATTGTCAATTAATTGCGAGTTAGTTTCCTTTGCAATTTCTTTAATGCCGTTGTTCATACGGGCAATTCGAGCTTGATGTTCTGGTTTAGTCAGTACGTGGGCATGCAGTTTACAGGAACACATTTGTAGTTGGTGACTTTGATTTAAGTTTATCAATCATCTGTTTATAATCATGAATTCCTTGTTCAAGGTCTGCATCTGACTCACAGTTATTTGTGCCCATGTGTATAATGATAGACTCAAAGTACGAGACTGTATTATCAAGTTTACTGTCAATGTCACTGACCTTATTAGCACCGCCGCAACAGGTAACTTTGGTGTCTTTGAGACCCCTCTCACTTATATCCCTTATAATTGAGTCTCCGATAATTAGACATTTCTTATCCGTACTAATGGGTTGACTATCCTGCTTTGATCTTTCTTGCTTTCCTTCAACTAATTTGCTCTGTAATTAAGAAATCAGTGCTTTCTGATCATTAGTTGTTGCAGAATTGAAGTGAGATCTTCAGCCATTTTGCAAATTGTGTCCTGTTGTTGGGTACTTTGTCGTGCAAGTTCCTGTACAAATCTTGGTAGAGTGTGGCATTTCGGGCAGAACCATACTTTAGGGTTTGATTGCGGCTTCTGATTTACACATATTCTGTGGTAATGTTCATTACAAATAGAATGTTCATTCTAATTTTTTCCCATTACCAACGTAGCCAAGTTTCCATCTATGCATTTGATTCTTGGTGTAGTAATTTATAATATTATTAATATTTATAATATTATTAATATTTATAATATTATAATATTAATATAATATTATTATTAATTATTAATTTTTTATTTTTAATTTTATCTGTAATTTATATTTATAGCCACCACTGCATTGTTATTCTCACGCTGCCTTGCATAGATGACTGGGAAACGGCCTTGGGCTTATCACAGCTTGGGTCGGGTCTTGCGTTTAGAGTGTGATAAGACAAGTAGTAATTGCTGATAATCAGCTGACAAAGAGATAAAACAAGGCCATGCTCGTAATTAAAAAACGAGCTCTATATAGCACTAACGAGCTCTCTTTTTAGAGAGCTCTATAGACCTCGTTTTAGCACTCTATTTTAACCATTGGGGCACCCTCTATATTTCCATAATTAAAGGAAACCTTTTGTGTTTTTTTTCAGCAAGTGTTGATGAAACACAATTTTTCTGTGTAGTTTATATTGAACATTAAATCTCTATGATGATACTGTATATATATATATATATATTTACATTTTAGGAATTAATGACAGTGTTTTCAAAAGCCAGCTGTTGCCAGTTTTTTCAGAATGGTATGACCAGATTGGATATATCAGTATGCTGAAGGTTTTGTACAGAGACCTCATAAAACATACTCTTAGATTAACCAAAGCTGCTGTGACAAAAGACTTGATGGATTTGTTGAGTGCTTCTGGAAATCTGCATTCAACAGATATCAAGGTCCTCTATGATACCATAAAGGCAACAGATACATTTGGTTTGGAAAAAGAAATTAAGATGCAAATACCGTCATGTCCAAATTTGAGAAGTGTAAGTATCTCAAAATTTACACGTTACAGACAAACAGTTATGAGGCTTGGAATGGCACTGGAAGATGACAATATCAGAAAAATTAAACAACTGTATAAGAAGAAACTTGTAAAGAATTATCAAGATACATGGAGTTTGATTATGGATCTAGAACATCAAATGATAATTTGTGAAGGAAGGATGGAGGATTTCATAGATATTTTGAAGGAACTTGAACTTTTACAAGCAGTAAATGCTTTAACAGAAGGTATTAATGTATACAGTATACTGTTGTTATCAATAAATAACAATTTAAAAAAAAAATTACCATTGAACTAATTTTAGAACCGTTTAGCATACTGTACTCCGTTACTATTTGGGCCTCTTTTTTTTGTTTATCTCATTCATTCTATTTTGTAAAAGTACAAAGATTATATAATATAAAGAACTAAATGTCCCACCTCGATTGAATGAACCTCCATACCAGCATTCTGGCATGTTAGTACTCTGTTGTTAACATTTGGTATGAAATTATTTCAGTATAATTTGATCATATTCAATTATTAATATTATTCAATCTTTACGGTATTTCATTTCAGACATTTCAAGTGCATCTTCAAACTCTGGATCTCTTGAAGGTAATAATGATCAATAATTTTCTATAATAAAAAGAATTTACTGGATATATATTTACAGTAAACTGTGTTACAGAAGTAAAATGAAATGCTAGATAATAATATATTATATTATATTTTAAATAGTAATATTAATTCAAAATTTGCATTAAAAAGTGTCTAGCACATCCAATATTTATTAAAATGGCTGCCTAA